GAATCTTCTCATATCATGTGTAATTAAATCCTAGTTGCCACGCCCACACGAGAACGTCTAACACCCTATAGTTACTGCAGGTTACTTAACATGAAATACTCGTAATATAGCGGAAAATGTAACATAAACAGTTAAGTGTTAATAATCTGCAGTGAACGATGAAATATATAAAGTCTGGCACTGCCACTGTGATGTACCGTGTTATGACGTCATTTAATTTGCCAAGATATTGTGAAAGTGTAGGCTACCACTATCATCAGGACAGGAGTAAAGATAGTGGCAGTATGTTTCTCCGAAATGTTGGTAATTATTTACCAGAATGTACGGTGTCATAACTTGCAAATCCACAACGTGGGACATAGTACAGTGTGGATAAATACAAAGAATTTGCAGTTGCAAGTGTCACGCAAGCATGAAGGTCGATAATTGAAACCTCAAAAACAAGGCACGTTAGAGCTTGAAGCTCAGACGGAGAACAATTGAAATGCAGACTGAGTGCAGCTTATTTCCCTACAGAACCACAAAACAGAGCCGGTTGGATTTCACTATTGGGCCGCAGCAGATTGCTCTGCTGGCCCGAGTTGCAATAATTCCCACAGCCCTCTATATACTACAGTATCGGTATGCATTGTTTCATAGCGATCGCTATCTGTGACATGAACGTATTCTTTTCCGCTGTCAGGGTAACCATAACACTGTAATCAGTAATCACAATTCCCATTTAGTGGCGTGCAGTATTGAGGTAATGGACCGGCCCATTATTGTCAATATCAAACCGTTGATCATAGGCAGTTGTAGCGCCTGCAGTTCCAGTAAACTGAACAGACAATAGGCCTTTATACGACGATTAATATAGACTAGATATATCAGGGGTGCTTTGTACCAGTTTTCGAGTGGGAAGGATATGGTGGCCAGAAAATGGCTACGGGGTTCCGTGGAGTGAGGGAAGAGGAACATAATGGGCTACTGATGAAGTCGTTGAGACATTAAACTAAACCTGAATGAAGACCAGTATTAAATTTCAGTTGAAAATTATGAAGAGCGGATTAATTCCATCCACTAGTTAGAAGAGAACCTGAAATAGCAGGATTTCAGAAACGGTTGGCAGAGAAATTTTCTGGCTGCACGAGAAGAATGAATTCACAGTGTTTAAAAAGTCTTAACTTGACACACAGTGGCGTCCAACCGAAGCTGTGTGTAATTTTATTTCTGGCTGCCCTGTAGTCCTACTTCGTCCACCAAAATCTTAACAATTCTTGTTCCACATTCATGTTGTGTGTGACAGGAAAGTTGATAACCAACAAGAATACTGTTCAGATATGTTAAAGTTAACCTTCAAAATGTATATATAAATTGTAACCTGACCATATCCACAAAAGAGAACCCCTCTTGAGAAGCCAGCAGCCACTGAGATACTAGAGAAATCTCCACCCTCCATGGAGCCCAGATTTTTGCAAGAACCCGTTACCGAACAATCTCAATCCACTGCTTTTCGGATATTTGCAATATTTCCCTTAAGTCATTTACGCACCTAACTTCAGCCTATTGAACCAAGGGCAAACTGTATCACCTTTCCTTAAGAACCTTCTAAATATCATCGTCCAACAGTCGCTGATTGATCCCAAAGAAATCTTTGTACATGTTTTCTGACCAAAATTATTTATGTACAAGTACTTCTTCTTTCCCATTCTTGCTATATGCCCTGCCCATTGCATTCTCCTTGATCTAGAGTTTAACCTGTAGGCCTATAAACTTACTTTGGGACTACCTCAGAGGATGACACGCAGCTTAAATATGCATGCATGAAATTACGTAACATTTTTGTAAGTGAGATTATTTCAAGGAGGCTCATAATTTTATTCGTCCCACTGACTTTTTAACTACAGCTAAAGAGCCCAATCAGCGTGCAGTAGTGTACTTCCTCTTGTGTAGATATGTAAGTAGGTAAAGTTGTGTTTGCGACCTACACCGGCACTCGAATCCTCGGTAGTACAGCGCACTCAGGCCAGCAGTTTAACGGTCCTTACTTCTGCAGTATTGGATTAATAAGGAACAACAAAAGCGAAGACATTTATGCCAAATTCGTGTACCTGTACTTCCTTCATATCATCAAATACGTAATATTACAGACTTAAATCTTATATCTCTATGAATATATTTACTTTGACTGTCTTTTACACAAGGGCAGATGTATTTGAGAAGTGAGATTTGCACGGAGGTGAATTAGAAGACTATCGTTGTCTGGTGGAAAGATACAAGCGAGCAACCTGCTGCATTCTCCAGTGTAAAAGAATTTCCTGCCCTGAAAATAAAGGCAGTGTTATCCCCGTGACACGCTGGCACCTACGCTACGCTGCGTCACCTTCAAACAGAAAATGTTCTCCTTCATTTACCTTTCAATGTCTATATATTATGCCATTCATGTGGGATAATATTTAGACCTTGATGGATGCTACATAGTTATTTGTGTACATTGTCTTTCCTTAGCTTTTCAACAAAACATGCTTCAGTTATTGCTCCTAACGTTCACTGTTTACTTTCATCAAATTACACATTCTCTCTACTTTAATATAATATTCTGGCCAGAAACAGAAATAAAAGCAACTGTGACCGTAGTCACCTCCAATTGGCTGCAAATTGGAATACATTGTTGTATTTTTTTTATTGCTAGTGGGGTGGTATTAAGTTCTTTGTACTAGCGGCCACTCCTGGCCTATTGTATCAGCCCCAGATGATAGGTGAGGGTGATTGTGGAGCAATTGGTGGAATGAAGATTGGCAGGGGAAACCCAAGTACTCGGAGAAAACCTGCCCCAGCGCCACTTTATCCACCACAAATCCCACTTGACCAGACCCGGGATCGAACCCGGGCCGGCGCGGTGGGAAGCCAGCGACTAACCGCTTGAGCTATGGCGCGGCCCTTCCACTGCTCTAACATTGCTGTGTGCCCTGTATAATTAGGCCTCTAATTTTAAGGTACTTAATGTTTTGCAATCCAGAACATTTCACTCCCAGTTCCAACACTGGAAGGCCATGCACTGTCTACTGTCCGAAGATGTTTATTGGCGCCATTTTCCAGGACTTCCGCATTCTGAATCTTCTCCTTGGTCCCCAGACCGAAGGGCACGCCGTGACAATGCAGCAAGGGGCACCATTAATGTGTCTTAACTTCAGAAACGCTTATCAATTACAGGGTTAAATGGCGGAGACTGGTACGCATGATAAGTAATGGAAAGGTAGGGTTCAGGACGAGAAGCTCCTGGAATCATTGAAGATGCTAAAATAGCATTGGGAATGGGAGACTTAAGGAAACCCCGAAACATTTGACTGAGGGTAACAGGCAGCTATTAAAATCGGGTATAGCCTGGAGCGTTGCTGTTTTATCAACTCGATCACTACTACTTTTCTGGACTGACGTAGCTACCGGTAAATAAAGTTTTATGGCTTTTCATTGTTGCTTTTTTACATAGTTAAGATGCCCCTCAACTGGTGTTTGTACATTGTAACAGGAACCGAAATATTTAATTCCTGCTAAGGATCTATCAAGTTGAAACCTTGGGGCCAATATTTCGCAATAAATTTTCTCGTTCACACTTTATAAATTTGCCCTTGTGCTTGACTAATTAAGCATTACCCCATTGAAGGCGTTTCGGGAAGTGGATGTATAGGTCCACATTTTCTTGACCTCGACACAAGTTGGAGGAGAGTGGTCAGCTTCACGCCTCGGCCGCTCTACCTTCTGGAAAGAACCCAGGTACCCATCGGATAGGAGGTTGGGTGACTCTCAGAGCCGTCCTGGACGACGTGAAGAAAATTCCTGACACTACCGGGACTCGAACTCCATCCCCTCGGTCATCCAGCTCGTAGCGACTCGCTATACCGACTGAGCTATCCCGGCTCTCGGTTACTTTTTACGTAAAATAAATGCAAAGAAGAATAATGTTCCTACTGCCTACTTGCGGTCAATAAATCCAACGTTTCTCACACAACAACACTTCCCCAAAATTTAGCTGCGAATAAAAGCAAGTCTTCTATTGCTTTCTTTCTTTGTGAATATTAATTTATTTACAAATTCAGCCCCTGTTCTTTAGGCTGTGGTAGAGGTAAAGTTGTCCCTGTGCTTAACTAATTAAACACTACGCCACGAAGGTGTATGGGGGAGTGGATGTATAGATCCACATTTTCTTGACCTCGACACTAGTTGAAAGTGAGCGGTCAGCTTCACGCCCCTGCCTCTTTACTCCCGGGGAAATATCCCCCCGTACCCATTGGATAGGAAGTTTCGTGGGACCGACGTGGAGAAGAGAAAATTCATGAACCTACCGGGAATCGAACTCCAACCCGTCATTCGGTTGTTTACACTGTGACAAAAATTAATTAAATACTAGAATATAGTGAACAAGAAAGCCGCGACTTGCGGGAAGTTAACATAAAATTTCGTATTCCTTTGGTGTTTCAAATTTACATAAATCACAATCCACATTTCTTTAATATACAGCTGAAAATGTGTATTAGTTCAGTTGTATCTGAATGTTAATGGATAACTTAACGTATTGAATTTAAATTCACAAGTTTCGAGGTATTTCATAGAATGATAATTACCACTCATATTCATATTCCTCACAAATAAATCGGTTCGAAGTTCACTGACTGAAAGTGCAGAAGGATGCTACAGTAAAATATTAAGTTTTTCGATTGATTGTATGTTTAGAGATGTGGACCTAAAACTCTCTTTAAATACATTGGTCGGATAAAAAGTAGTGGCAGCACCTCTACAGTTTTGAAATGACTCTTGACACATTACCACGCAGCATCATATCAAAAGCTGTAAGATCTCTCAAGGAAAATGTTAGTTTAGCGGTATTAACCGCTGCTTTCCAATGCCCATCGAATCATAACATCAGTAACCATTGAGGCAGCAGGAAGTAGATCGCCGTAGTCTATTCACTTGTTTTCGGTGGTCATCACATCCGTTGTCTAACATTCCTTGTCTGTTTGCAGGTGGACTCGTCTTCTGTACAGCATGCCTGTGGTAATGGCCCCAACGCATCTTCAACGAGCCGACGAGAGGACTTCTTCTTAGAGGAGGGCTGACTTTAATTACAGAGAACACGGGCAGATAAATTCCTCCTTTGTCTCCTTCTAGAAAGGAAATATACTCACAACGAGAAGCACATTCTCTGTCACAATTATCATGAAGTAACAGCGACGTCAGCCAGCGTACCACTTCCCAGTGCTTTTCGTGGCTAGGCTAACGTTACGATACTTCGACAGGGGAACCAAACCGTTGTGTTCAAGAGAATTACGAATATAAAGAATTACTGATATATATATAAATCAAATCCTGTGGAACGACAATATTTAATAAAATATGAGTGTGAAGAAAGTTAATATATACTAATATTTCATTGGTTTTCTTAAAAAAGAAAGAATGAACATTATAACGTGGGAGAATACACAATTATGTATCATGTTATGTAACAGCTTGTTTTGTTATCTATTTGCTGTGATTTCTTTCAACTAATTTACGAGAGAGTAAACTACAATTAAGTTACCTAAATTGTCGAAACGGAAGTCATGCAGTAAGTGCAATAAGGTCATTTGCCGATTATGAGTGAAATAGGACTCCATCTCAGCGTTATATTTCATATTTATAATGATGATAACAGGGTAAGACTGAAATCATTTACCAAAGATTTCATTCACCAAAGTAATTTCTAAGCATATGTTAATATTTCACTTTTTGTGCTACACATGCCTGCTGTATACGTTTACATGCTTAGTTCTGTGCATCTGCACATAGTACCGTGGTTCGATTTGGTAAATGCGGATATGGCCTAAGTAAAATATATTCAAAACACGTACAAAATCCTTTAACTTGCTCGGGAGGGGTGAGTGGGGTAGCAAACCGCACTTCTGCATTGATTACAGTCCACATGCAACGTAACAACACATAAAACAATAGCTGTGGCCACTGTTACCTCATAGCCCGCTTTCTCTTAGCTTGTTTCATTAATTTTGCATAAGGAATGGCCTAATAAGCAAAGAAAGCGACATAATTTCTCAGTGGGACCATGTATTTTTTTTTTATTGCTAGTGGGGTGGGACTAAGTACTGCGGCCACTTCTGGCCTATTGTATCAACCACCAGATGATAGGTGATTGTGATTGTGGAGCAGTTTATGTATATATCAAAATTATGTACTTTATTGTCATCCTGCCTGCGAAGCATTCTGCACTGGGCATGTAAGCGTATATTATGGGCAGCATGCACACATGGTCTTATGTCAGCATTCGAATTTATTTTAAGTCTGTTCTTATCTCTATATTTTTCTCGTAGAGCATTTAAGTTCATCTAATCCCTTTATCAGTAGGCCGATATTAATATTATTCTTTCTGTTTCACTGACTTGCCCAAGTATCGATATATAAGATTAAATGTCTGTTCGTTTTGTGACTCTTTAAGTTTCCAGTTTCTTCAACTACATTTTTAAATTAACTGTATATTTAAATGTAAATGAAACAGGTTCGTGAGTCATAAAACTACCGGAATACATCCCATTTAAATACACTCTACGAAAAGTAAAATTTAGCTAGTGAAAATAAACAGAACAAATTTAAATTTTCGTAAAATATATTAGAAAATCTTATTAAATTTAGAAATGAAAAACTAAATTTTTAAAATCGAAGACAAGTTTCACTAAATATATTTTCAAATAATTGCAATGCAGTGCGTTTAATATAAGATTTTATAGTACCGCAAATAATATTATGAAGAATATGTTAGAATTCGTAATTTTATTTTGGGAGATAACTATTAACCAAAACATAGAACTTACTTGCAGAGGGTGGGAATTATCTTAATTTCATTTTTATTATCTAAAATGTTCCGAATACGGAGTTTGTATAAGAAAAGGTATTGATCCTTTGCTTTGTGTCTTCCTACATAAGCAAAAATACTGATTCGAATGGTCTCAATCAAACATAGAACTAAGGCATGCTGGATGGGAACTGTCACGTGTTCACAGCGGCTCTTTACTATATCAAATGTCTCATGCAGCACTGTGCTTATTCCAATATACGTATGTTTCCTAAAGCGCTTTGTGACAGGCAAATTGCGAATGCCATTTCGCGTGCAAATGTGCACTCTTTCTGCTGTTGATAAGAAGAACCTTAGCCATGCTATCTGATAAGTATTTGAATTTAACGAACTTGGTAATTCCGAGAATAATAGTATATTACAATTAATTCCTTGGAGCTGAGTCCTACTTGAGAAGCCGCCAGTCGCTCAGCTACTCAAGAATTTCCCATTCTGTGGAACCCGAAATTTCATTATTGTGTTCACAAGAGTTTTCCACTGGCCCCTATCCTCAACCAGATGTATCCAATCCATACCACTGCACATTGTCCTTCTACTATTCATTTTCATATTAACTTACGGCTTAACCCTAGCTCTTCCTAGTGGTCTCTTTCCTTCTGAGAATGTATTAAGGGGGAAGAATATTTAATAAAGCCATGCAGTGTTAAACATCCTCACTTATATGTAATTAAGGTAGGCATTCAAAGAGCATAATTATCTTTATATGATAGGTATGTCTTTTGGTATAGGATAAAAATGCAAAAATAAGGAGGATGCTGGTCTTCATGAATATATTGCGAGGCTACTTCAGGATTATGCAAATTTTTTAGACATCGTTGTTTCGAGTCTATCGTTCAAGAAGGCAGTGAAAAAAATAGACTATAATGACTATTGTCAGTTACGGCAGCAAAACTGAATTACAGCTTTGTCAACAAAAACGTTCACTTCAGCGTTTGGGACATACATGCAAAAAAATTTAACGGTCCTCTGACACTGGCGTATAGAAGGATTTCTCTTTTATCTCATTTGACACTGTTAACAAATACCAGTGCCCACTGGTCCTTCGGCATTCTGTAGCTGATTACGATAGAGACAGCTGATACAATTCCCCGGTGATATCAGTGCAGTATCTCCAGACACGTAGTAGATCACTGCTGACCCCTGTCGGCGGTACAGTGAACACGCGATAAAACATGAAGTCTCAATGGAATACAGCACGTTACAGTTCCTATCATTAGCATTCACTAGGAAACGCGATGTGTCACTTTGAAACAGGCCTCCTGCATACTTTTCCTAAAGGAATGTTACTCCGAAGTTCATTGTTAACTGCTGGTTTGTATAAAAACTTTCAGGTGTTCAATGGAGCTTGAACCTAGGCCTGAGAGAGGCTAATGAAAGGGTATGATGCATGACGGTAGCGCCGCCAAACCTAAGATATCTTTCGGAGAACAAAATATAGAGAAAGAGGGGATATTTGTAATATAGCGGTTCCCAAAACAGATTTCCAATCAATGTCATAACAGAATTTAAATACAGTAATTACTATGTTTACAACTGATGTATATATGTAATATCCTACAAACTGACAAGTTGTATACATCCACAAGTTTTGCTTAAATTTTCAACTTATTTTATAAAGAAAATATTCACATTGTAAACCATTTGAAGTACTAGTATTGGGGTGCAAATAAACAAACATACAATTAATATCTGAGCAATAACTCTCCGAGAAAAATTATTATAAAATAACAATCAAAGAGGCATTTTCAGCAGTGTGAAATACTTTGGATTGAAATCCAGAATGTGCACTGAAAGAGGTGTTTGGGAACCGCTACTCGATGACAGAGGTACGTAGTCCCTAAATGATTTATTTTGAATGATCTATGTACTGACTTTGTGTTGTATAGTAATCTAACTCAGTGTTTCTAGTCGTAAAATACCAAAAAAAGAAGAGTGAATGAGAGGATCACCATAAATATCTTGTTGACAAATGGCAAAGTAAAATATTGTTTGGCTAATATGTTTATTAATAATTATTACTGTTACACAGGTTCCCTATTCTTCAGCAAGGCCTGCGGATTGTGTTAAAAGATAACGTTGTTTGTTGAATCTGAAAATATTTACAATTCTGTGAAAGCTTTCTAACTACTTTATGTGAAGTGCGAAATATATATATTTGGCTTATCTACAAATTAAATTTAGCAATACACGTGAAGATCATATCCATCATTCAGAAAACTGTTAAGATGCCACGTTCTCCCCTCTGGCGCCCAACCCCCTTTCAGGCGGTCAGGAAATGCTTGTTATAACCCTCTCTCCCTTCCTCATTTAACTAGTGGTGACCCTGTGTAATCTGAGGAGTGAACCTCGGCGAGGCGTCGTTAGTGGTGTGCAGGAAATTGTACGAAGCGCCCTATTTACTCACAAGAACACAGTATGCACGAAACACATGTTATGTTTTAGACACTACTCCATAATTTAAATAAGTGCATTCCTTGCAGAAAGCATCTTATTTATGACCCCCATAAACAGTACGTTCTAATGAAGATAACTGGATAATATAGAGCGGTTTAAATTGTATAACATGGAGCAAACTTCACCGAGCACCAACACTAGAAACGACAAAACCTCCTAATTCTTGGTAGTAATGATCGTAAATTGGCACAGCAGACGAGCGTCTAGCATGGCAGCTCACGTAGAGGGCTGAAGAATCATTAGCACATACAGTACTACAAGAAAACATTAGTTCATGAACTCAAGCGTGTCGAATATTGCCGATGATTTAGAGACGTAATTACTGTCAAGGGGGAGGATATTCTAGACGCCATATTTTTTTACTGATGACGCGTCCTTTCCTTTATCCGATTACATAAACATCCAAAACAGCCGCCTTTATTCTGCGACCCATCCGTGCATAATCAAGGCTACACCAATACATGATCAGGAGGCTGGCGTACGGTGCGCCATAACGCGAATTCGGACAATCGGCCCCGAATTCTCACCTCGGCAATTTATTGTGAAGCAATCCCTTGCCCTTTCACTAGAAATTTTAGTGAGGACTAAATTGTCCGCGACCACTTCCAACATGATGGTGCTACTGCACACACACTGCTCCTGTTTCCACGACCCTCCTGCGCAGTTTTCCGGGACAGAATAATTTCAAAGAACTCTTAGCTTCCACGGTAGGCCGCGTCATAGCTCAAGCGGTTAGTCGCTGGCTTCCCACGGCGGCGTCCCGGGTTCGATCCCGTGTCTGATCAAGTGTGATTTGTGGTGGTGGACAAAGTGGCGCTGGAGCAGGTTTTCTCCGAGTTCTTCGCTAGCCCCTGCCAATCTTCGTTCCACCAGATTCTCCATCATCATAATCACCCGGGGCAGGCTACAATAGGCCGATCAGTTGCCGCCGTGGCGAGTGCACCCAGTTGGACTCCCCCCCCCTCACTAAGAGAATTAAAAAAAAAAATAATTTATTAGCTTCCACGGTGGGAAGCAGTGAAAGGCGCATCTTACAAAGAAATTGCTCACAGTCTCCTTGAACTGAAGGAAGCCATCACAAATATCACCAGGACCATCCCTCCGACTGAATTGTCGCGGGTCTTTGCAAGCAAGATATGATGTGCAGATCCGTGTCTACAAGCACATGGATGCAATCTCCTGCGTTTATCGTAACTTAAGTAGGGCAATGTATTTTTACTGATATACAGTGACTCTCTGAATATACTCGTCTACGGTACGTACACAGAGACTTTTAGCCCATACTGTATAATGAGAAAATAAAAAGAAGCAGCTTAGGCACAAGTAAAAACGCAGCTGATCTTTTGAAAGATCAGCTCAGTGGACATTCGCAGTGTAAGGAAATGTACAAAATGTGCATTGATTCACATGAAAGCTGTATTGCCACTAAAATCTGTATGTCACTGAATGTGCGAGCAGCAAGTTGCCACAAAACCTTGGGCTGAGGCCGTTCAAATTTGTCAATGTACGTGTACAACATGAAAGAACGTACCTCGGTGAAAGACGGGGTTGGAGGAATATTCATTAAGTGTATCTGCTCGATCTCTTATGCTATGGCGAATATTCCCTATGGAGTTAGAGACAAGTTATGGCTGTCACCAAAACTGAACCGACTCACTGAATACTTACACACCTTCCCTCGATCATAAGCTTTTAATA